GGAAATGTCAATAGGTCGTATTCACACCAAAAAACAAGCAATTGCTATTATTAGGCTTTTGACATGCTGCAAATGCACGATGCTTATAAATTTTTTGTCTTCCACAATACTGAGAATATAAAAAGTTGGATCACTTCCCGGGAAGACAAACAACAGTGAGTGGTTGATTTATCGTAAGATTCCTTGCTCCACTTTGACAAACTTTCAAGTGTGCATCAGATCACGTTTGTGCTAGTACAGTGTGTGCATCATGCGAATACATAGACTTTCGAAATGTACCCTAAGCAAGTGTTTTATCGAAGCCCCAACTCATACTCTGAGCTTGTTTCACTTCGTATATTTATTCTATGTTAAGGCCTTGTTGTTACGTCCTTTACCATTGCCACAACTTTAATCAAATATTAGTAAAATAAAGAGTGCCCTTATTCAAATTTGAAGGTGCCTCTTTATCTCTGTAATAAGAGTATCTTACCACCTCTCATAAGTGCCCCCTTTACCTCTGATAATTGCCCCTAATTAAATCTTTATTCTAAAAAGTGCCCTAATATTTTGTAATTAGTGCCCCTTCCCCTTATCCTTTTTTTTCTTCATCTCTGGTGACTGATCTTATCAGATGCGAGAAGTGCCCCTTTTTAACCTCTGATAATTCCCCCTTTTTACTTTGACATGTGTTATTTTTATTTTCTATTAAGTGTTCTTTCCCCTTTGTACATGTGCCACCTTTTCCTTTCACCATAAAATGTGCTCTTAATCTAATGCGAGTAAGAGCAGCTTTTTCTTTAAGTTCAAAAGCTCGCTCATTTCGCTCGCTAGCACTTAAGTTGATATAAATATGTTCCTTATTAGAGATATTTTTCAGTCCTTCATGAATTCGATTTTGCTTAAAACATATCAGCATTGTTATTTTATCTTAAAAAGGTGTCATTTTTTCGCACTGCGACCTGACGAATTAAAACAAAATTTGTTCGCTCGCTTTCACCTAAAAATATTCAGACCATCACACCCAATTGGAAATTATGATGCCGAAGCAGTATCTTGGACCTGGAAAGAGAGAAACAAACATTAAAACCGTCCTTTATGATGTAATCACAATGTAGGGTTTATACCAATGTCTAAAAATTGTTTTTTCTTTTAGCTTTGAGGTTTTCCTTTGAAGGTGCCCTTTTTTTCTCTCCGGAAAATGTCCTATGTTGCTGCTCCCCCCCCCCCCCCACACACACTTCGAAAGACGCTTCGCCACTCCTGGTCTCGTACGTGTGACTTGAGAATATTCGACAGAAAACATTAACACCAATGAAACAAATAGGACTAATCAAACGAATGCCTATATGAAGCAACCTTGGTAATGCTTACCCTATTAGAACGAAAGAAAGGAAAGGAATGAACTTCTTGGTTGAGTAACTATATAAGCTCCATTTATCTAACTTAATAAACAAACAGCCAATCAAATGCCAGGTTCATTACCGCGACCGAAGATGGGTCAGTCATGGGAGACGGGATTAGAGTATATAAGGGAGTATGGGTTGGGCTTGGGAGAACAAGAGCTAAGGCGATCAACAAGCATTAATCAACTTTACTCACCAAGCCAGCCAATTTCACAAAATCGTAAGTATTGCTGCAATTTACAACAATTTGTTTTATTTTAAAAATTTTGGACAGTATTGTTTTATAATGTTCCTATAGTTGATTTAATTTCTGTGATGTGTATAATCGGTTTATTGCAAGAGTTATGATGACAATATTTCAAAGAACTTTTTTCAAGATCTAGAAATGCAACATACAAACCTGTGCTTTATAGTTTTATACATTTGTATCCCACTTGTGACATTACGATGCGTCTGCTCTTCTTCATTTTATGTTTGATATATTTTTTATTTGATCAATATCATAAGAGGACATCAGGCTGTACAGTACCCTTTTTATTCTTGCCTAGTAAAAACTTAATCCCATCCCTGCCCTTGTTTTCTTCAATGATAGCATTACTTCAACTGAAAAACGAGTGTGCTCTCTGAGAAAGTTGACACACTCATCCCAAATCTATGTTTTTAAAGGTTGTTAATTTAATCCCCTTATCAAAAAGAGAGTCAGATAGATCTTAAGTAGATTCCCCGACACTAGAGATATCATGTATTCCTTATCGTCTTCTTATTTTGACTCATACTACCCATATCAGGCACTTGTATTTTTTAAAGTTGGACTTTTCCTTAAAAAAAACCCCAAACCAACATGTCGAAGTTAACCCTTTCATGCAATGATCTCGAGCTTTATCTATCAGTCGTATTCCAGTTTTCTAAAATTCAACTAGTTGAGAATTCATCAAGAACTATTTTTTCATTCCTTGACAGACAATGGTTTCCAAGATCCTGATCGCTTTCATGGCCATGCTGGTGGTCGCCATGGCCTTCGAGTTCCAAGAGACCGATGAGGATTTCGATGTCGCGGAGTTCATGAAGAGGGACCCCGTCATGCAAGACTATTATCTAGCTGTCAAGAGAGGGCAGTCCATGAAGAAATACAAGCGTGAGTTATCTTTCACTTTTAATAAACAGGGTCGAATCCAAAGATCGAAGTCCACCCTATTATATAGTTGGTTTTAATACTAGCAGGAAACATCAGAAAAACTGGTCGGTGATACATGTAGACTGTGCAAAATCCATAAAAGAAGAAGAAGCTGTAATCATTCGAACACAAACTTTCAACTCTGTAATAGGTCATGCGAGGGAACCACATTTGCTCTGTAATATATCATGCGAGGAAACCCCATTTTCTTTGTTTACAAAGTATTAGGTTGTGTGCAATTATAATATCTAAAGACATCCATGATTTAGATAATGCATCTCTGATAATCTCTGAAGCAAAACAAAATAAAAAAGTTAACAATAGAGAGAAAAATAAAGGTTCCTACGTTATCCGATTATGAGAGGCAAGACAGCAAAGACAAGCAAGCAAAACAAATACGAAACCAAGAAAAACAAAATTTGAAAGGGGGCACATTTTCATCTATTTAGGCATTTTTAAGGGGCACATGTCTTAAAACGTTTGAAAAAAGAAAGAAATAAAGTACACAAAAACATACTAGCAAACATCCCGGGAAAAAGCAAAAACAAGAACTAGCTTTATAAAATATTACAAAATTATTGAAATATTCTCACAATTTTCAGAAACGTTTAGCCTATATGTGTTCAAAATCTCTCTCGCTCCTCCCGTAGTGGCTCCTTTCTATCCATAAATTCCTTATTCGTGCATTCATCCTCAATATAATTCACGCATATCAATTTTTATTTCTCTTCTCATTTCTGTTCAGCTTGTGATACCATGGAGCACTGTTGGTGCAGTAGACGAGGAAACAAGGTCGCTTTCTGCGGTGGTAAGTCACTGTCATATTTAATGGTTCGAATTCACGACGTAGGTCTAGATTTAATTTGTTTTTTCTTTCTCAAACCAAACCAATTTACTCCCAATGGCGGAGCGTGAGTGAGTCCAGCCATTGAAGGGGCACTGATATCATGGGGGGGGGGGGGGGGGGGCATTGTTATGAGGTTTTACAACACATGCTCCGCTAGCTTTGAATGTTAGACTTCTTGGAAGTAATTTCAGTTTATAAATAAGTTTCTGCGCGCATCCATTAAATAAAGATCGAGTGCTCGATCTTGTAATTATAGACAAGTCAGAAAAAGTCTCGGAACCAGTGGGATTTGAACCTGCCATTTACTATATTTGTGACATATTTGATAGATGGATTTATCTAATGTTAGTGGATCGATCTTAAAGAAACACAGCTATGATTCATACTAGTTATCACAAGAAGCGTTCAATCATGTCAAGAGGGGGGGGGGGGGGGGTCACATAATAAAAGCTTTCTCTCATCTGCACATGCTCCAAGGTAAATCAAATAATTCAAAACCTTGTTCTGACCTTTTCTAAATGACGCTCATCGAACTTTTTCGTGTTTTTCTTTCTCTAAGCCTCTCTTTGTTTTTGTTTTTTGTTTCTCTCTTTAGTCCTTCCTTTGTTCCTTCCTGTTCTCTCTTGCTTGCTTTCTCTTCATGGTCATTGTTGTTGAGGAGTTTAATTGGTCATATCTTGTTCATCGCATCTTACATGTCATATGTTTGTCTGTTTTCCTATAGGCCAAGGAGGTGGTAATGGAATCTAGACTAACCCGCTGAATCTCACAAATACGACCCGAGAGAAGACTAGGAGCTGATTTGACCAATTACTGCGCAGTATGAAAGTGACGTCACATCATGTATTTATGTTTTCATCTGGATCAAAGAATATTTGGATAGCTTGAAATAAATGGATATATGTAGAATTATGCAATGATTAGATGAGTGCTCTGAGTATTGTTGTAAGAAGTATCTGCATGCATCACTATCGGGACGCTACAAGAAAGAGCATCACAGAGAAAGAGAGAGAGAGAAAGAGTATGCGAGAGAAAAACAATGTTAAAAAGAACACGGGAGAAGAGAGAGAGAGAGAGAGAGAGAGAGTGGGAGGGAGGGGTTGTATATAGAGAGAGAGAGAGAGAGAGAGAGAGAGTGGGAGGGAGGGGTTGTATATATATATATATATATATAGAGAGAGAGAGAGAGAGAGAGACGGAGAGAGAGAGATAGAGAGAGAAAGAGTATGCGAGAGAAAAACAATGTTAAAAAGAACACGGGAGAAGAGAGAGAGAGAGAGAGAGTGGGAGGGAGGGGTTGTATATATATATATATAGAGAGAGAGAGAGAGAGTGGGAGGGAGGGGTTGTATATAAATATATATATATATAGAGAGAGAGAGAGACGGAGAGAGAGAGATAGAGAGAGAGAGAGAGACAGAGAGAGAGAGAGAGAGAAGGGGGTGAATGGAGAGAGCATGAGTGAGAGAGAAAAACAAGGATTAAAAGAATAAGGGAGAAGGAGAGAGTATGCTGTCCTCGGGGTGCTCTAACACACACTCCTATCCAGTAGCTAACCTCACAACGGAATAAAGTAATCTTGAAGACGATTGAGTTGAAAGGTTGTACTCTAGTCTTTATTCAAGCCTTACTTCGGCATAACGTGAATGTGGTAAAACTGTAAAATACAATGAATGATAACATCGCATCAATTATACATGTAAAAGATCATAATAGAACAAACTATGTTCTCAACAGTCCAACTAGGCAGATTCAGGCTTATGAATCAATCATAATCCAAACAGGTAAGTACATAAAATACTAACGTACATTTACTTTAATAGGTGAATCCCTTTAAGTTCAAAGTTTCTACCAGATGAACCTTAAAATCACAACAAACAATAGATTCTCAGTTTCAGTATTTATGGAATAATGCTCAAGTTATAATGAGAATTATTACAGCAATGTTTAGTCATGACTGTACCTATACAAAACCTGACCATTTTAGAGGTCTGCAAACGGCTTGCCGTACTTAGGAACAAAGCATTGTATATCATATAACATTCTTACAAAGGCAGTTTCCCAGTCTAAAATTATGTAGACTTATATCCTGTCCTTACAAGTCTATTCAACAAAATGAACTTACAGACTTGTGCACTTCCAAGCTATCTATCTGACGTAATCGGATTGTAACCCATGAATCTCTGTCGCTTGTCTCCTATAACTGCAAACATAATTTGATAGATTGCAAATAGGTATAGGCATCACCACTAGAAACAGATAATGGAAAAGTTGTGCTCATAACTTTAGGTTTCAGCAAAATTAACTAATCCTTTCAGTTATTAGACTTAGAGCCGGAACTGTTAGAAAAGCCCTCTAATTGACTGACACAACAATATAAAAATATTCATTCAATACTTTAACACAAACTTTAACTAGCAAAGGTAATTTTAACTATAATAGCTAAACTTCCAAATATCTGAAGATGTTTCCCCAAAATACAAAACATGCTGTAATTTATGTAGACATACTACTGTACAGTGTATGCTGTAGCTGTCAGAACTACTCAATCACGCTTATGACCATTTGCACACAAAACGTATTGAATTCTGTCCAGACTATTGATTATGATAAAAATAAGAGCATTGAACTTACACGAAATCATCAGGCAGTAGACCTCGATCCTAAACCTTCAAGAACCAGTTTAAACATGATATAATAACCATACTTTAAGAAAATTTACGAAACTTGTGGCTTGAGAAAATAGGATAGTTCGCTCAAAAGGAGCGCCATTGTTTCTGACTATGGAAAGCCAAGTGAACAGATTATATTTAATCGCGTGCAGCACAGAGAGAGAGAGAGAGAGAGGAAGGGTATGTATAGGGTATATGCAGGGAATTTGAGACCCTTAAGCACGTTTACATAATTTACATAAACATGAAAAATGTTACACATACAGAAAGTTTTGTATTCTCTTCAGTAACTTCTTCTCTTTATTTGGTTACAAAATTGTGGGCATGGTGAAACTGATTTAACATGTCACATGTCACAAGCTCAAATAAGTTTAACTCCGTTTATTCCATCCTTTTGACATCAACTTAATGAACTTTCTCTGGGAAGTTAGTTTTGCACAGTCTCGATGTAGAAGTAGTTCTTTTCCCCACATTTAGTACACGCTTCACCAAATTGCAGAACATTTTCTGAGCATCTTTTCATGCTGTTTTCCACAGTACCTGTAGCATTTCAACATCTTTGGTGGTGACTTTGACATCTGTTATTATCTGACCTTTGTCCCTTTAGATGATGTACCTCTAGGTTTCTCTGCATGAACCAGCTCTCCTTCGTGGCATCAGGGATCCCATAATTCTGCTTGGAGAGTTCCCCTACTCTACATGCAAGCAATTACTCATTCCAAATAAGACAATTTATCATAGATAATTAAAAGAAATACACAATATAGTATCCGTGTGCAGTGCGTCTTAATTCGCTTACCCCAGACTTGGTACTTGGTACTTTGTTGAGTAATCCCTTTGGCAGCTTACTCAGGAAGCTAAACTGGGACGGTAGGTGATGTGATATTACTAGTTATCGTGTGTAGGAATCTCGATATCGCAAGCAGCGAAACTTGATGTCCCATCGGGAAATTGCTCGAGCTTGACTTCGTTTCCCGGAGAGCGTTCGGGTGAGGGAATTTTGTTTATGATGAGCTTTCCATTAGAGTAGAGTTTATTGAAGTTTACCGTATAGTGTTGATCATTTAAGATTCAACTGTCGCTCCATCGTAAAAGTGGAGTCTACTCTCGGTTATCAAATAGAGCTATTATCGGTTAAACACCATGTACAAACATGGGTTAAAAGTCTCCATTAAAAAAACAAAATAGTAGATTATTTGTCTTTAAAGATCTTGCTGTCGCCTGTAATCGTGTAATCGTCTGACACCAAAACTATAGCGCTATACTCAAATCATTTATAATTTTGATCGACTCACCCATTAATTAAGATGCTATAGCACAATAAGTATTTTAATAAATGAATTAATAAATAAATAAATGAATTAATCAATTCATATATGGATATATTACTAGATAAATAAATACATGAGTAAATGAATATGAATACAATTAAATAAAACAACAAATCAATTTAATGATAAATCGTTATGGTTCAATTGTTAATACCAAGTACTTCGAATCTCATAGCCGCAGCTCCAATGAATGTTGCAGTATGAACCCTAACGTACCGTGCGGTTACTGGCTCAGGAAACAGTAATGTCACATATGTGTTACCATCAAAATTTCCTGCATATGTCTGAAAGAGAACGAAAGCATTTGAGAATGTTTATTTCTTATAATGATAATTTTAATAATGATAATGATAATAACAATAATAAACTTTATTTGTGTATTATCCAAGAAAAGCCTCATGAGTATCACTGCTGCTATTCCCAAGGGCCCTGCAATTCATATAACCCCCGGAAACTTCCAGGTACCCAATTACACCTGGGTGGAGAATGGCAAATGTTGATTAATGTCTTGCCTCAAATCCATTGGTATAACACTTCCATGAGAAGTGCAATATGGCACAGAGACTTCATCGCCAAAGCACATAAATAATTGATTTTAATGGAACTTTTCATATTTGTTCAATACTTGTTAAATCCTTTAATTTTGCATACTAGAAAATACATCCTTTTGGATGTGTTAATATAATATATGGGGAAATAATTGCATGCAAAAACAATACAGAAATTCAAAAAATACATAATAAGTAATAACAAGACCATGAATAAAAAGTAAGATGAAATAAGCATTTTCTGGAAGCGCGAAAATGAAACTCACTTCTCGTACCCCACACTGCTCTTTCAGAGCAAAGGTCCAATTTGTATTGTCCCTTGAGTAGGAGATTTGGAATGACGTAACCCTTTGTCCAAACATGGACCTTCCCTGCGTGATAACACCAGTTACCAAAGTATCCTCGCCGAGATCGACCTTTGTGTGATTTTAATGATGAAAAGGACAAAATATTAATATATTCAATGGCAGATTATCTTGCATTTGATACCAATGTTAAGGTCAAGCGATATATAACAAATATGAACCCTTTTTAACAAATGTTGCTTTCAATATGAGCAAACCGAAAGGGCTTGTCAGATTTGAATGATAGCGATAGCCAATCAAAATCAAGATGATGACATCCATGTTGATCATGATTTATAATACTTAGGAAATAATAATGATAATTATAATAATGATAATAACAATGATAATAATACTTATAATAATAAGAGTAATAATAAAATAAACAACACGAGGATGTTCTCGTACAGCAACGGCTCGTTTTTTAATTATTACTATCATTTTGATTTTCATTCTCATCATCATTATTATTAACATTATTATTATTCTCATTATTCCTATTCTTATTTTCATTCTTATTATTCTTATTCTTATTATATTATAATTATTATATATGAAGAGCTTCATTCCAAAAGGCGCTAAATCCATTTTTTACCAAAATGGAGTTATTAGTATGAGTACATACCAGTTGCACATGTGCATTTAAATCACCATTCCTTTTCTCAAAATAATTTTCAGAAATATGAAAAAAAATTGACACAAAAATTTTGTTTAGTTCCAAAAGGCGCTAAATCCACAGTCAGAGCGCAGTATTGTTCCAGTGACCCGGATTGACAACAGCTTTTAGCTTTTTGCTTGCATCGAGATCGATCATATTTCTGCAGTATTTACAGTGTACGCCAATGCACGCTCTACCTGATCTGTAATACTCCACTTTGAGAAACGTTCCGCGGGGCATGCATGTAACGTGTAAGAGTGGTGGTGATGCAGATTTTTCTTCTCTCCCCGTTCCAAGCGTTTTTGCTCATTATGTTACTGCCTCTGGAAGGTGAGCCCCCTGGAATGTTTGCCCCCCCCCCCCCAATCCCAAACTGCTTTCGGCGCGCCTGGCAGCCTATCACGAATAGAAGGTTGATTTTATATTATATTCTAGCTGTACACATATTGTTTTCTTGATATGGGTACACTTTAATTCAAATCATCTCAATGCGCATTTAGACATGCTGGAGCAAATTACCTTAACCCACTTATTGTTGTCTGAACGGGCAGGGATCCATGCACCGGGGCTTAATTAACCCTGCACTATAAACTTCATTCAGCCTTGCTCTGTAAGCTGCATGATAGGAATCTAGGATCGATGACGAGGTCAGACTAGAGTCTGGTATCCGACCATCTTCCACGCCAAGCCCCTCGCCGAGGACAGGAGGAGTGCAACCAAGTTTCGCATCGAGGTTCAGCGACGCTGCAAAAAAAAAAAATGAAAACACCTAACTGACCATCTAACTACTTTTCTTATATTTCCTGTTATTCGTAAGGTAAGGTTGACATTTCAAAATATTTTTTCTTAAATGTAATCCGGAAATCTACCCTGTCAACAAGCTATATGACGTACTAATAAAAACAAACGCATGCAAAATAGAACAGCAACAACAACAACAAGAAAAGAAAAAACGGGTGAATGGGACTGCCCACAACTTTTTCGTCCAGAGTTCTCAAGTTTTGACCATCTCTTGCAAAATACTCTGCACTTACTTATGGCATCAGTTAGAGGTCCATACCCATATAGTTCCATCCTCAAAGAAATTTGAACGTGATTGGTCTTTGGATGGATCCGGAAAGAGCGTCCAACTATCGGCCTAGCAAGCGTCTGAGTCACATGGCTATTACGGTCATAGTTTCCAGGAAATATCTGTAAAACATAAATTGAATGAGAATGACTTTAAGTAATAGTGCAAAGAAAACTCATTCTTAATGAAGCTCATGTTAATTTTTAACCCTTTATACGGCCTGTTAATCAATACAACGCTGACTAAACACATTGTTGTCAAGAAGAGCCAATTACGTTTATCATGGCCATCTTTGTTCTCCTTCTTTCCCCATCCCCATCATTCACAAACGTTTAATCGACACTTTTTCACCCTAGAATCACGGTTTCTAAAGACGTTTAGTTTAAAACGCAATGCGTTCAAGCGATTTTTTCGTCGGTCGTAAAAATAAACGTGTTTGAAAACACAAACATGAAACGCTGAAAAAGATGCGTTTTGTATCATGATTCTGCAGAATCACGGTCGCTAAAATTCGATTGAACGGACGGAGTTCTCAATCATGATTGTATGACGGAGCCTGTTCCGGTTTGGGCAAAAACCGCACGCCTGCTTTTCATGCAATTTGCGTTTACTATACCATGCTCTTTATCGTGGCCTGTTCCGTTATGTTATACCTTGTTTTCCTTCTATCTTTTTCTCTTTCTGTCTTTCCTTCTATTCTTATGTTATTATTTGTTTTTTTCCTTCTATCACCTTCTCTTATGTTATTCTTTATTTTTATAATTCTATCACTTTCTCGTTTGTTATTCTTTGTTTCTTCTTTCTATTCTTATGTTAATCTTTGGTTTTCCCTTCACTCACATTCTCTTATGTTATTCTTTGTTTTAATCATTCTATCACCTTCTCTTTTTGTCTTTCCTTATGTTATTCTTTGTTTCTTCCTTGTATCACATTCTCTTTTTGTCTTTCATTATGTTATTCTTTGTTTCTTCCTTTTTTTTGTTTTTTCCTTCTATCACCTTCTCTTATGTTATTCTTTGTTGTTATAATTCTATCACTTTCTCTTATGTTATTCTTTGTTTCAATCATTCTATCACTTTCTCTTTCTGTCTTTCCTTATGTTATTCTTTGTTTCTTCCTTCTATTCTTATGTTATTCTTTCTTTTTTTTCCTTCTATCACCTTTTCTTATTTTATTCTTTATTCAGGGGGTGGTCGAAACTTCCCTATCAACATGGCTAGCTCAACCAAGGTGTCAATTTCGAGATTTTTGTTTCTTGTTTCTTTTAAAGGCAGGCTTTACTACTTCAGCCAGAAGGGATTAGACCACACAGCGAGCGAGCGAGGTCACTGTGACAGATAGCTCATTAACTCATTAACTCAGCTCTAATTTAACATAAGAAAAAGAGGATCATGGGGGACCAACAGGCACCGATTGGGGAAGTTTTCTATATAGAGGGAGCAAGTAGCTACAAGTTGGACAGTGTGCCTTTAATTCTTTTTAAAATACAAACAAAATGTATTATAATTATTATTGGGTTGTAAATGTTGTAATAATGATCCTCTGTTGTTTTGATATACATAGGCCTAAACATGTATTATGTTTATTGCCTTTTTGCCCATTTTATTTTTTTGGTCACCCATTATACATAAAACAAGAAATAGGAGATCCTTTCCTCTATTTCCTGTTCCCCAGTTTTGGAACTTAAAAATAAATATGGCACTTGGCTAAAAGTAAACTTATTGTTAAGTTTCATAAACCATGTTAGCTTAATGAATCTTTCTGTCCCTGGCATTCAAGTGGTTGTACTATCCTTTATCTATACCTGCTCATTTTTATGTTTTCTGATTTCCTACGTCTTTTCTTTATTGCAAAATAAAAAAATAATAATAAATATAATACTATTAATGATATAAATTACAGTGGGACCTTGTAACATGAAAACATTGTTATATCAACTTTCACTTCAGCAAGACAATCCAATCGGTTTTATTCCTAAGTAATATATACTGTATTTTGTTTGTTTTGTTTGTTTATTTGTAAGGTTCTTTTTGCAGCCATACAAAGCTGTATCATAGCAACAAATTTTCCATAGTCCCATGGAGTTATAACGAGGTCACACTGTATATCTGTGAACGCAAAGACCACTGATTATTTGTTTGTTTTTAGTGTAATTGAGGAGCCGCAGTTTTGGAATTACCTCAACTGATCCAGAGTATACATTCAAATAATTAGTCCAAGCCGTGTCGTCAAAACTAGACGAACAAGTGTATGACGTCACCCACTGATCAGCGTCATTTCTTCCCTGAGTCGTTATGGCCGTTACGATATAACTGGACTCAAATTGGACCTGCATCCATTGGTATTGGTCGGACACGTATGAGATCCAGGCTGTCTCAGAGTTCAGCCGGCCGACACCGCTGCAGTAGGGCACAGTGTAGCAGGATGATACAGAGAAAGCCGAATCGGAAAGAGCACCACTTTCAAGGCCGAGTGGTCGACCAGATATATTACACGGGTTCACTGTTGAGAATCAAGTCAAGAAAAAATAAATGCATCTTACAGAGTAAACCCCAGAGGCCTAGAAGTGCAAATAAAACACGAGAGTGAAAATTACAATTCACGTCATAGCAAGTCATTAAACCGTTAGTATACGCGGTGTGGCAAAAATGCAACGAAATTATGACATCTTAAAAAGCAGTAACCGTCCTCGATAAAATTTCGTAGGTGAGGAATTTTATAATATCCTCTATAAACCTCTCCTTCAATATTATAAGGATATAAAATCAAAGGAAATACTACAGAGATATCATTTTTTTCTCAAAATGTACAAATTTTCAAATGTTTACAGAGAGATCACATGCCAATATATATCAAGTTTTTGTATTTCGCGACAAATATTTTCAGAAAAAACAATGTCTAATAATATTATGAGTTGGAAATTGCTGCGTTTTAGTTGTAAAAAAATATCGTAAGTTAGTTTTTTCGCTTGAAACATTTTGAAATTCACAAGACCACTAGGGGGTATTTTGCAGGTTATCAATAAATGTTCATTAAGAATGGTCGAGCTATTTTAAAGATATCGCCAATCAAAATATCTCTCTACTTTTTTTTTTTAGATTTCCTGTAGATATAGAACATGTTTCCATTGTTGAAGCTTTACTGATGGAGTTACTTTCTGTCAACCATGTGTAGACAAAGCATATTATCAATATTATTACTATCATTGTTATTATCATTATTATTGCTAAAAATTATTATTATTATTATCATCATCATCGTTATTATTATTACTATTACTATCATATTATTATTACAATTAAAAAGTATTAATATTATCATTTTTAGTATTATATTTTATATGATTACTTTTATCATTATCATTGTTATAATTACTTACCGGGGCAACACACAATGGAAATAGTTTCACTCTCGTTTATTCGTCCCACTTTAGTCTCACTGTACCAGCAGTCGGTGATGTTTGTGGTATTAGCAGGGCATATCACTGATTCGGCTTCAGCAGGAACATCGACGGACGAGGACTCGTACAGTGGACCGCTCACCGTCGCAAATACTCCTTGTTCAATAAATTTGAAGTAAAAGTAGGATACAAGAGTAGTCACAATATTATTTTGAAGAATATTAACTTCATCGAGTACCACAATAACTGATTTGTGATGACATACAACACATGCAACTAGGGTAGGCTCCCGATACAACAGTTTTGAAAACTGGAAAGGATAAGAGAGGGAATTAGGTTAAAGAGGGAAAAAATCAACTGGAAATGGAATTTCAATCTCCAACTCGACCAGAATATATATACTCCTCATTATAACACTAGTGTTTGATGATTTAAAAAAGAAGTAAATACATTAAAGAATAATTTGATATAAGTTTGCAATAATTATATTTCAATACAAGAAAACAAAGTGCATGATAATATGTGTACATAGACTCAAACTCCTTCAAGGAATCTCAAAAATAATGGGAAACAATGAAGGAAGTCCACACGTTTAAATATCTTTGTTCACTAAAAAATCAGTTTGGAAAAAGTGTTCATGAGGTAAATAAAAGGATTGCAAAGGCAAGGGGTACGTTTACGCTATTGAAATTCGTAATAAAATAATTAGAACATAACCATGAAAACCAAAATCCGTAGCTTTAAGTCATTATATCTGATTAGTTTTTCACCAGGGGTGTGAGTGTTGGACATAAACGAAGCGATTGAGAGAAGATCAAAGGCTACATAGGCCTGATTGTTGAAAATGAGAATGTATCGTGAACAGAAAAGATAACAAATGAAGAAGTGTTAAAAAATCACCACTCATCAACCCAATAAGAAAGAGGCAAATGTAATTTGTTGGTAACATTATCATGCAGAAAGGTTAATTTAGAAAAATGTTTATATATATGTATATATATATATATATAAAGGCGTGAAAAATGGTCTAGGAACGTGAGACGTAGCTGTACTTTACAAGTTTATTACGAGCTTTTGGCTTGTGAGGCCTTCTTCAGGTTCTTGCTTGTGTGTTGGGCTGTCGGTGTGTTTATTCAGTTGTAAAGTACAGCTACGTCTCACGTTCCTAGACCATTTTCTTCACGCCTACATATTCTGGAACACCCGTTGTCATGTCAGAGTTGAGAATTCTCGCACTTTTATATATATAAATATATATATAGATCAGTAACATCCGTGTCACAGGTCAGTAATCCACACTTGACCGCACATCCCTTATTACACATTCACATATATCACAAAAACTGAATAAACACACCGACAGCCCAACACACAAGCAAGTTAAAACACTTTGAATTTGCATAATCATTCTAAGTTTATTCCAAAAGTATTTCTCGTACTAAGTTTTGCTATGTTCATGATGCTTGACTATGATTAAGTGATATCAAGTTTGTATGCCATGTATATTTGTTCATACAATGTATTTGTTTGTAAATGTGTTTGCACTTCAGAACCTGAAGAAGGCCTCACACGAAAACTTCAAGTACAGCTACGTCTCACGTTCCTAGGCCATTCTCTGCACGCCTATATATATACATATATATATATATATATATATATATATACATACATATATATATATATATATATATATAGGCGTGAAAAAAATGGTCTAGGAACGTGAGACGTAGCTGTACTTTACAATTGTATTACGAGCATTCGGCTTGTGAGGCCTTCTTCAGGTTCTGAAGTGAAAACACATACAGAAACAAATACATTGTATAAACAAAATTATATGGCATGCAAACTTAATATCACTCAATCATAGTCAAGCATCATGAACATAGCAATGATTAGTACGAGAAATACTTCGGAATAAACTTAGAAATCATTATGCAATTTCTTCACGCCTACATTTTCTGGAACACTGGTTTTCATGTCAGAGTTGATAATTCTTGCACTCATACATATAGAGGTGTAGAGAGGTGTCGTGGACGAGTGAATATGTCAACGGACTGTGGATCACAAGGTCCGCGGTTCAAGTCCCACCGCGGCACTAATGTCCTTTGGCAAGACATTGATCTACATTTGCCACTCTCCACCTAGGTGTTAAATGGGTACCCGGCAGGATGTGAAAGCTAATGTGCTTAGATTAGCAAGTGTGCGCTTGTAAAAATGACGCCTGGCTGGAATGCTCCCCAGGGAGTGGAGAATGTGCATGCATTGTGTGCGAGTAAGCCTGAATCCGATGACCGGGGTAATAATATATATATCTGTAAAACGCTTTGAGAGGGCCTTCGGTCTTGTAAAGCGCTATATAAGAACTAGCTATTATTATTATTATTATTATTATATATATATATATATATACATTAACATGGAGTATTGCTGGAAAGAGAATCAGGGAAAGGCAACAGCTCGCACATTTGCAAAGCCTGAACAAACTTGCAATCAAAAATGAAAAAAAGCAATATCAGCAATTTAAGTATAGCTGATAATAGACATAAATGGAGGGCCATTAAGATGATAAGGATAATGTCTTACCTTCAAACCCTAGATACTGACATGCCATTTGAGATAAGTTTTTGTTCCAATGATCCTGATGTACCAGCACGTATGTGTTAGGACTGGAGCAGGACGATAAGGCAAGCGTTCCTTCATTTTTCTTTTCACCAAGAAGCTTTAACGAATGGATGGTTACATCTATATAGTTAACAATAGAAATAAGACAGATATATTGAGGGGAAAAAAGAGAAAATTGAACTCATTTAGTGACCTGGGAAAAACAAGAATTTACGGCGATGTGAAGTGTCTCAGCTCTCCAATCACACCTGAATAGTCACTGGTTTGTGTAAGGCGCTAAATTGACCAACTCATTTTTACATCGAAGTCACTAAGTACTTAAACCTTAGTCATATATATTAGAACACGTTTTGTGTTGGTGTGAATGCAATTAGTAAATAGTTGATGGACGATTTGTGATCAACCACTCATAAGTATTATTACAGAGCCATCTGCTAAAATGAATAATGGGGTGTAAATATGTAGTTAAATTGAAGCATGAACAAAGCCCAGGGAAATCCCCACAATCAACAAAAGAGGTATAACTATACACTAGGATTACTTCACTCCATAAATATATAGATTACAAATTATTTTCATTTAGCACTTCATCAAATCGTATTTATGGAGTTCCTGGAGTCCCTGTGAAATCCACTATTAAACTGGTTTGACCGTACCTCTTCTTGTACATACTTAGCCAATACTTTTCCTCGGATGTTTACCATGATGGTCTTCAAACCAGAGGCAGGTAAATCCTGTATCGCTCTCCTCAAGAGTACAATTACCTCCATTTACATGTAGAAAAGGGTTCAACAAGGGTTTGCCCCCTGAAATAAAACCTCTGAGTAAGCCTCCTTCTCACCTACCCTTCATCAAGAGAGCCTTTTAAATTGAAGTATTCATTCCGATTCCGCTATCCTCGCAGAGTACCGCCATGTAGAAAAAGATTTTGACCAGGATTCGCCCCCTCCCCTCCCCTTCCCCTCCGTATAAAAAAAACCTGGTCCGTTTCTACCTCTGTCTTACCATCCTTACAGCTTTTACCACGATAGTTATCGAAGTAGAGAATAGCTGTATTGCTCTCCTAACAAATGTCTCCATGTCGACAAGAGTTTGCCCCCCTCCCCCTCCTCGCTTACAAATACCTGAATCTGGCTTTGCACTGTCACACTTACCACACTTGCACAATTAAAAAAAAAAACATGCTAGCTCTCTTGTTTCAAAATGCTCGCTCTCCCCACAATTACCATGTTGGGAAAGGGTTTTCACCAACCTCCCTCTCCCGTACACAAATCATTTACCTGCTTCCACCCCTGTCTCACTTACCTTCTTCACACCTTTCACCACAGTGGCGCTCTAAACAGAGACAAGTAAATCCTGTGTCCGTCTCCTCGCAAGTGTCTCCATGAAGACAAGGGTGTGAGAGGCATGCTGGTGACAGACATGACACATGGGGAAACATGGATAAGAAAAGTGAATACCCCAAGGTCTAATACATTAAAACAATGGTGTAAACACAAGGGACGCGAGGGTTAATGTCCCAGCCAATGGTTAAGAAATAACAAGAAATAAGAAAGTTAGAAAAGTGAGAAAGGGAAGGGGGGGGGGGGGTGACAAGAATTGAAACACATACGCCTGGACCACTAGATCTTTTTAAACACTAGCCTTGTAAATTATGATTTGTTTTTCAAGTAAGACCGATGACCCCCCCCCCCCCCCCCACCCCAAGCAACACAAATGACGGAGGTGTGTCCTAAGTTCAATTCTAATTGACAAAGGACGCACCATATATGGGTATTCGACACAGCCACTTCAAAATGTCTGTAATCAGTCTTGCGTTATCTATTGATCATGATTTTGTTGGTAATGTCATATGAAAGAATTAAAGAGTAATATTAAAATTACTATCATTATCATAAAAACAATGGGTGATTACTTTTGCAGTTTACATGTGATAAGATTTGTAATGAAAATGGAAAGTTAACATTTATTTTGTAGGCGAAATGTTGTTATATTTGTTGTTATATTTACATTTTGTGGTTATAGCATTTGAGTTAATATTTTTATATTTGCTGAAGCAATAATGATAATAATTTGAATTTATATAGCCTGCGCCAGATATGGTATTTCGTCTCTAAGCATTTTACAAATATTTTTACCCCGGTCGTCGGATTCATTCAGGCACAATGTGCACCATCTCCACTCCCTTCTTACCATATGATCACAATGAGGGCATAGGAAATTACGATCACCCACCCCTTTGCACCAAAGCAGGTGTTCGTGTAGCACAGAGCCTGAATGTAGTACCTACAGGGTGGCACAGGGGGGCACGTGCCCCCTTAGTAAAAAGGCAGAAGAAAAAAGAAGGGGAAAAGAACACGAGAGAAAGGAGAGATGAAACGAGTAAAGAGTAGATATATCAACCAACCAGACGCCCACCATTATGATCAAAGGCTTCAGACTGCTTTTTATCTACCGAATAAGTTTGGACCCCCCCCCCCCTCCGTGAGGCTAGTGCCCCTTCAAAATGTCGGCCCATGCTGCACCACTGGATGCCTAAGTATGTTTATGATGGATATGCATGACCTGTACAACCAAACATTAGGCTTCCGTTCCCGTTTATTCAACAGCAGCCTAGAGATATTATCCTGTTTAATTAACTTAAACTAACACCTTTAACATGTGAAAGGGGCAATTCATTTGATACTGCGGTCCGTGAAATTGCGCCTAGTTCAGCGTACTTCCAGCCATATGTACTCGCAAACACATACTTTTGTTAATGATCATAATTCACCTTGTCACCGGGACGTTTAGGTAGCACAATACACTTCAGTATATTACATGTATACATAATATATTGCACTGAAATGGATTCATTGCCTTTTTCGTATAAATTCGTCATGTGTGGGCGGTTCTGTATAATGCAACATATGCTCCAATAAAAAGTCGTAATGAAATTCAGCCAACCCGATTAATTGCTTTGCATACAGCGGAGTTCAGCCAGTCGTATCAATTGCTTTGCACACAGCGGAGTTTTTTCTCACTCCTCTTGCTAATAATATCTGAATTACAGTCGAATATGTTCGTCCAAATCAGGATTTATTATTTATTGTTTCCCTTACTTATTTTTAATTTCTACCCGGTTTTCCGTACGATACGTCAAAGGTGGCTTGTTTAAATCTAATCTAATTCGATACAACTTTAGATGTAGTTTCATCCTGTACTGGATGTTTTTCTTCAACATTGACATTGTCATTTGAGAGGTTATGTGGTGGGGTCTAATGCCTAGGTCACATATAAACCGGGCCCCGTTCGATTTTCCCTACCCGACATGTCACCAACTTCCAATCACTTTTCCTACATGAACTCGAAATAAAATGTGTGTAATTAAAAGATACAAGAAACACGATGAGAGTTTTATGGCGAAATTCATTTTTTTATGAATGAAATTGATATTATGGTACTATAGGCTAATAGGCCTATAGGTAGCCTGTTCTTCTTTTCATTACTTGCTATTAGGCCTACTCACAATTATATCGAATACTGTAGGCCATTTTCTTACAACGCTTTTGCCTGGTGACGACTTTATTTTTACAGGTGTTCTTCACGAGTCAGATTGTAGATTGCACGCAGGCGCGTACGCCGGGGGGGGGGGGGGGGGGTTAACCCCCCTTCAGTTTGGGTATGTGTGTATTTTGGAGCAACCCCATGCTATGTAATTAAAACAAAAGTGTCCTTTTTTTGGGAGGGGGGGGGGGGGGGGGTAAGAGGACATTTTTTTTTTTTTGGTCTCAAAATTTGAAAAATTGACATTTTGTTCCGTTAAGGTGGGGGGGGGGGGGTATAGTCACCTTTTTAAGGTCAGCCATTGGTTTTGTGTTTTAATTTAAAAATTGATAAATAATAATAATCACAAAGGGTGGGGGGGGGGTGGCATGTGGTGGGGTCTCATGCAGGCTTAATCAATGTGCTATTTTGCCTGTACACAACTAGCGTATAGGTGTCAAAATGCCCTTTCAATAAACTATTCAAAGTAAGTTCCAAACAATGTTTCTTTCAGTTTTCTTTAAGAAAACAATTTCATAGTACAACATTCTTGGTTTGTCACGTCTATAGATTATCAAGTCAACTGTTACTTGATAATTAAAATCACACTATTCTTATACTTGTCACACCTTCATCTGAAAGTTCAAGTTCAAATGCCTTTAGTTTTCATCAGACATTTTGTGAAAAAAGAATTGTTAAAAGTTTGCAAAAAGCAAGTTGAACGAGGGAAGCTTTGCAAAATGGTATGGCACGAAAACACGAAACCGGAAGGCAAAAGTTTTAACTGTTTGGTGATATCGGAACTATTTATTGTTTATCCAGGAGCCTCTTAAGCATTAATAGTATTCTTCGTTGCAAAAGATTACCCACAATTTTACATCTGGATGGAGAGGGAAGTACGCCATGCCAAAGCAGGTTTGAGTGCCAGGCTGGGTTTCGAACCCTCTACGATTGGTTTGAGAGTTTATTGAAGTAACCACTATAATTATCACGACACCGCCTATTATTGAACATAAAATTGTAATTATATTGAATGAATGACATTTTCGGTAATACAATACCTGGTCACGGTAATAGGGTAATCAACAAGTTGTGATCGATGTCATAATAACATGGTTCTTCTTCAGTGCCATATAAATATGAATTGAAACAAATGCATTGTTTTGGCTACAGAGTAATTTTTCGGCTACATGTTATTTTCCGAAGGTTTGTAATTCCGATAGTTCTCTTTTTCTAAAGGCTTGTAATTCCCAAGGTTCATATTTCCGAAAATTAAATTGGATTCGTAATTCCGAAAAAGACGTAGAACGATATATTGATTATCGGAATTATGAACCTTCCATGTATTAACGAGACTTTCTCATTTTCAGAATTACACACATTTCGCGGATTTTGCATGTAAATACTACCTGGTTCGGTGCAATAGTAGCGCTGGACATCATGATGAATCTGAAGGTCTGCTGGGAGGTTGGATATTAACCAGTCTAGATCGGATTGCATGGGTTTCGGGATCAATTGTACAGTCTCGCCGCTCTCCAGAGTGGTCAAAGGACATGACATCATAGTCACATGAGGACAGACATCATGTACGTCATGTAATGCTACAATGGAATTGAGTTAAAGTATGAATAAATTGATAAATACATTGATAGATAAACACATACTTAAACGAATGTGTAAGTATATAGAAGTAGATGTTAATGAATAAACGGTATGAATTAATGAATGAACAAATATATAGAAAAATGTACGTTTGAATAAAATACTCATGAAAAACAACCAATACATTCCAATAGACAGAAGGAGCAACACTGGTCATTGGCTGCCAGTATTGTTCTCGAAAGCTCATTTCACGAAGGTTAAGGTTACCGAACAAAATGGTCCAATATAATAATGAGTTGTACATGCAAAAATATTTAATGCAATTCATACATCACAATGGGGTCGAGCACACAAGATCTTTAAATAGATCTTTAATCTGATCCCCACTCAATTGATGTTACTTGTGGTTCCAACTCCTGATTTGAATATGTCCATCTTTTAGTATTTATCATATGCGTTCATACGCAAATTTATGTATATGTTTTGTATATATTGAATGAATAATTGAACTGAATTGAATTGAATTGTACATTAATTGATTTTGAGCAGCGCTTTGCTCACATTTTAACACTACAACGCTACCTTTGCATCTGGGGTCGAGGAAACCTACAGCACAATACTCCCATCTTATCCCAGGAATGGTGGTGTAACACCAAGCAGTGTCACCATTATCTGGGTTCCTGCAATAGTTGTCGTCTAATCCTGCCTTAGAAAAGTCAGCTGGAGTATAATCGTGTTGGTGGGGATCCTGAGAGGTCCATGCTTGACAAGTATGACCGTTGATTGTCTGAGATAAGTCTCCTCTGTAGTTCACTCCAGTAGAATCTTCTTGACATGCAGGTGTGTCTCGAGAAAAACAGGATAAGGTCTAAACGTTACATAATTAAAACATTAGGATTGTCGCCCTTGAAATGAATACGTAGCTAGATGATACGTAAGCAAAAACGAACCCAAACAATAAAACTGGCAGTTAGTAGGGGGAGATAGGGTTGGTGGTCTTACCTGATACACTGACTGTTTGAACTCCATTCACTATCACAACGATGGCTGCAATTACATGTAGCTTTAGTATATCCCCCATGCTTGAGGGCGTCCTTCCTCCGCCAGAGGCAATTCCAAAGATCCTACATGAACAGAAAATGGTGTTATCGATGTAATTAACAAGGTGTCATAGTTTTATGGGGTGAGGTGAGATTGGAAAATATGATCACAATATTTAAAATGAACTGATTTTTGAAAGTCACCTCCTTTTTTTTATCAACAGATTTGAGGCACTGCACTTATTTCGTTTCAATCTTAAGAGTATAGATATCAGCATTAAAGGTGACACTGGCTTAAAAGTTTCAGGAAGCAGTCATTGGTTAACAAAAGCAACCTACTCAACTTTGGTAGCTTATGTTTCAAATGTCATGATTAATGTGACGTTGAAACTATTTCTTGATAAAGAAATAATGTTCTTTATGTAATGATACCCTATTCGTTTCCATTTTCTAAAACATTAATAGCGAGTGAGCGAACACAAATTAAGAATCTGTTCTGCTTGTTCGTGCAGTGTTGTAGGTCTACAGTTTGGCATACAACTATTATCCATTTCCAATCAGCATTAGGCAAACATGGGACGAACTACACCCCGCGGAGGTTCGATACGGGACGCTGACAATTGGACGACATACGGGACAATCCCATAAAATATGGGACTTCTGGTAAAAATAATCCCGTATTAGTTTAAAATGGACCTTACTCGACGACCTGTTGCTAAGGTCTCACTGGAACCAAAAGTGGAAATTATCGAGTAGAAAAAAAAAGCGATTGACCAGCCTTTGTGAAAGAGTTGTACGGTGCACCAGGTCAAATGCAACAAAAAGTCAAGCATTCATGGGAAGACAACTTGACTTTTATCAGCAGTACAAAGTTTGTCATTCTACAGACGAATAAGTGTATTCTAGTCAAAAGTTATGTGCGACTCAATAGAAGGAGTGCATTGGATCAAGCAAATCAATGTGATTGACAGATTTAGAAACCTGAAAAACAAGCCTTATATTAGAAATCGGTCAATAATTAAGATGTATTTAATAACGGAGTAATGGCAGAAGATGTTAGTGCCAAAAAAAGCTCACCGTATAAGACAATAATTCAAACATTTTCCAATTCATTTAATTTAATTTATTCAACCATAAAACGTGATATTATACAAAGTAATAAAGGTTAGGAGCCCTAAAGAAGCGAATGCTTGTAAACAGGGCCCCTTGAGCAAATTAACCATACACTGTCGCTCATATAGTTGGAATATTTTTTTAAACCTCACTTTATGGAAGACAATGATTTATTCCTAATAAATCTAGATAAAAGTATACATTCTCAGATATTATTGAATAATAATTTGCCAGTGTTTGTTTTGCGTGACTGCTAAAACATGTGTATGCTACTATGCTTATCAACTAGGGGACCTACGTCATTAAGTCAGAAATGGCAGTGATGAGGATTAATGCCCCACAAAAGGGCGCTGATATAGCACATCGACACGTTTTTTTATCCTGGGGCCTCACAGTTGCGAGGCCATAGCTTTGCCACTAAACCATGACTGTACGCAGCGGGGGCTAGGGTAGGGGGCAGTTCCCACAAATAAAAAAAAAAGAAACGAAAATGCAATAATTGTTCAATAATTCATTGAATTTCGCCCGGTCCCAAACATAACAAAATCGCTGTGTGCCCATGCCTTGAGCCATAATGCATGGTCGTACAAAGAATGTTTTTTTTATGTTGGGGACCTGGGTAAAATTCAATGAATTATTGAAAATTGGTTGCATTTTCTTTGTTTTTTGTATTAGTGGGAACTGCCCCTACCCTAGCCCCCGCTGCATACAGTAATGGTTCAGTGGCAAATCAATGGCCTCGTAACTATTAGTGCCCTTATGTGGGGCATTTATGACTAAAGGGCGTAGGTCCCCTAGTTGATAAGCATAGTAGCATACACATGCTTTTAATAGCAGACACGCAAAACAAACACGGGCAAATTATAATTCAATAAGATCCGAGATTGTATACTATTATCTAAAACCTATTAGGAATAAATCAATGACACAGTAATTTCATGAATTGGGGTAAAACTAAAATATTCCAACTATATGAGCGACAGTGTGCATACAACCAATCTTTTAATAATACGAACATTCAATCATCAACACACATACACATTGCATAAATTCGCACACACACAGCTAGAAGGAAAGAAAAAGAAGTAGAAGTAGTAGAAAACAAAGAAGAATTATAAAAGAAAGATAGTTGTATATACATGCTGATGACGCCGTATGGTTCAAGACTCCGTCGTCAAAACATGACTACCATGACCACGGAGTATTGAAGGTAAAAATCTATCAGCCATGTCAACAAATTAAACTAAGGTAACGCCAGTCTTTAAACATAAATAACCAAAACTGTCAGTAACAGGCAAAATGTGTAGATGACGAAATATAGGTCCACCTGGACTTCGAAAGTGAGAGTTTGGTAGATGTCTTTCTTTTTTTAGTAATTTCAACCTGAGGAGGTGGGTTTGATATGAATAGCCCCAGAAAATAACACAATAAAATAAATAATGATGAGTATAGTTTGAGGTCAAATATATGTTAATCTGTTATGACACCAATACCTCTTGAAATCTTTGCACAAATAATATATGAATAAGATTCCATGAAAGAAATTCATTCAATTAGCATTTTAATAGCATGAAGGTTAGGCGTCTTACCTTGTAGAGGTGTTTGATAACAACCAGTTCGTCTAAAAATTGAGGATCACTAAGAGATGCAAAGATCACAAGTCCCAGCCCGAGGTATGCTAACTGAAACTGATACTGATCAGCTAACCAGTCTTCCTCAACTCATCGTGCGCTTGTTGGCTGGCGACTCAGAATCAATGTTGGGCGGGGCTACAACAGTAGCCACAACAAAAGCTACAGACCAACCAGCCGACCAATCATCTCGAACGTAAGGATGAATGTCATGCGCAGGCTGTGTTGTTTAGAACCAATAGTCTGGACGACGAGCGAATACTGTATATAGCCGGAGAAATGTCTCTAATGTATTTTTTTCGTCACATACTTTATTCATTCAATATAATAGCAGAAAGAATGTAAAAAAAAGCAAGTATATAGTTGAAGGTTAGTTTGTTTGTTTGTTAAGCTTCGGTCAAATAAGTTCGTACGAAAGATGAGTTCGTACAAATATCGTACTCGTACGATATCAAGAATTATCATTGGTTCACAACGTAAAATCATTTCTTGATATCAAGAATTCAATTCTTGACATCACGAATTCGATTTCTTGATATCAAGAAATGAATTCGTGTTATCAAGAAAGCGAATTCCTGATATCAAGAATTGAATTCTTGATATCAAGAAATGATTTTACGTTGTAAAGCAATGGTAATTCTTGATATCGAGAATTCGATTTCGTGATATCAAGAATTGACTTCTTGATATCAAGAAAGATGTTTAAATGATAAAACGGCTTGCCATACGACCGAGGCTTTAACTGTGACCAACGATGTAATGGTAATTATGTTATACTACTACGTCTGTGTGATTCATTCGTGCATTTATCTTATGCAACGTTCAATTTCTATTACTGTTACCATGGTTGCAAATATGATGCAATTTTCTATTCAATTTCACCCCGTACTCGCATCAGAAGCATTGAGGTGCACAAATGGTGTACCCCGAGTGCTGCTCTGTTTTTTCATGTTTAATCACATTTAACAGAAATCGACACGATTCTAAGAAAGTTGACAATCCTACTTGCAACTTAACTACTACGTGACAGCAGGTTACATCAGCAACATAATGAACTAAGCTGATATGTATGCAACGCAACCTATGTCCATAGTATAATGATCGTGATGATAGGGTTTCCACTTGTTATATCATTATGTCTGGGTGACTCATTCATGCCTTTATCTCGTACAATGTACAATGTATGTTACTGTTGTCATTATTGTTAATGATATGCAAATTAACACGTGTCTTTTGAATTCATTTAACATAAACTCTATAATAAACGCTACTATTTGTTGTTGTTGTTCAATTCAATTCAATTCAATTCAATCAATTCAATAATGGTTTATTATGTAATTTCAAAATACATGCATGATAATTGTCATTTTACATGAAAAGCAGCAGAAGCTGGATTATTCATGTGTACATGTTGACATAATAAAGTGACAGGTTGCATTTTTAAATATTTACACGTTAAAAAGTTTGTTAAAAATACATTCAAAATAACATAACACGTTAAGAATAACAAAAAAAAGTTTTATACTCTCGTTTAGAATGAATACATTGGATTTTAAGACTAAAGACGACTGAGGTGAAGACTAGTACTGTGTTTGAAATTTAACACGTAGTTAAAAAAGCATTTAATTATGGTTAATTAGATTGATCAAATATGGTAAAGGGCTGTTTTTGAAGCGATTGGTTTTGCATTTGAAATTATGATATGTAGGAGTCTGACGTAATGATATTCTAATTTCTTTTTTTGGAGGTAGCCAGTTCTGGCATGCTGGGTGAATTGCTAAAGATTTTGCAAATTTTATACACAGTACTAGTCTTCTTTCCTCAAGTGTACTTAAATTGCATACTTGACATGCATGTGAATATGACATAAAATTAGAGCCTAAAATAATTTTGCAAACCCTCCGTTGTATTCTTTCGAGACTGTTTTTCTGTTCAGATGTAAGACCACTATGAAACACAGGGGCGCAATATTCTAATACTGGTCGTATATAACCTGTGTAGATTAATACTAAATCATTTAAAGGTAAATTAAATTTCTTGAGTTTCCTCAACATATACATTTTTCTATTACATCTTTTCATTAGCTCATCAATATACAAATTCCACTTTAGATCAGACTGGATGATCACTCCAAGAATCTTAGCACTATGCCTATTACACAACTCGGTGTTGCTAATAAAAAGAATTTCTGGGTCTGGTGGATTTTTCATGAAACTAATTTGGAGGGTAAAACACTTTGAAGGATTTAGTGACATATTATTCACAATAGACCAAGATTGCACAGAATTAAGTATTGATTGTAATTGTGAGACATCTGTAGATTTCCGACATTGTACTAACGAGAGGTCGTCGACATATTTAAAATACGGTATAGAAAGTTGCTCACATAAATCGTTTACCATAATTAAAAAGAGAATTGGCCCAAGACGTGTTCCTTGGGGAACACCTGCATGATTGAATTCAACATTTGATAAAACACCGTTATATTTTGTATTTTGTTTACGAAATTCTAAAAAACTGGCAATCCAATCTATTATCCAAGGCCTTATATCCATATGAATCATTTTTATAATAAGAATATTGTGATCTATGCGATCAAAAGCTTTACTAAAATCTGTACAAATAACAGTTGACACAGATTTACTGTTTTCTGCATTTTTATATAGACTATGTAAAAGACCAATAATGTAATGTGTAGTAGACAGCCCAGGTCTATTGCCAAATTGGTGAGTGTCAATATGTTTATCAATATCTTCTAATAACCATTTTGCTATAAAGGATTCTGCTACTTTGGAAAAATATGAAGTCAATGCAATTGGGCGAAGATTATTAATATGAGGAGGTTGAGATTTTGGAATCGGACATATTTCTGCAGTTTTCCATTGGGTTGGAACTTTTCCTTGTCTAAAGGATTGGTTTAGAATCTTCGTAAATGGTACACTCAATTCACATGCAAATTCCCGTATAATGCGTACCGGTATATCATTACTAACGGATGCTTTTTGCAATTGTATTTTACGTAATTTACAATACACTTCCCAGTTACTGATTTCTGGGCTATTGCACTTTGAAGGTAAAAAACATGGTAAAGTCCTCCTATCTAAGGGAGGAAGATCAGAAGCAATAGACACAAACAAATTATTAATTGCATTAGCAGCTTCTTTATAACAATGAGGTTTTTGTGATTCAATACCAGGAATAGTAATTGGAACGGGGTCACAATTACCATTTGTAAGTATTTTAATATGTTTGTACCAAGCAGACGGATTATTCAACTTTTCTCTTTTTATACGAGAATTGTAATAATTCTTTTTAGCAACAGATATAGCTTCAGCAACTTTATTGCGTAAATGTTTCCAAAGATAATTATTTCCTTTCTTAAAAGCGTTTTGTCTATCACGGATAAGTGATTTTAAATGTGGAGTTACCCATGGTTTATCAGTATTGCACAATTTTATTTCACATGTAGGCAAGTATAAGTCAAGGTGAGTTTGAAGAGTATCGGTTAACCTGGTACACATTAACGTTAAATCAGAGTTTTGAAAAACTTCCTCCCATGTATGAGCAGTTAACCACTGACCAAACAAGCGTATCCCACTGTCTTTCAATGGACGTACAATCTTGGTTTTCTTTTTAGTTGTTCGTTTAACAAAATTATCAGGAGACCAAATGATACAGTTGTGGTCACTTTTGCCAATTGGTGGAAGAGTAAAAATATTCGTATAAAATTCAGAAAAATTTGTGTAAATCTTGTCAAGTATGTTACATTCCCTCGTGGGTTTATCAACTACTTGTTTAAACCTATCATCTCTTACGATTTCTCGAAAGTTAAAATCATTGAAATCACCTAAAATTGATATCCCTGCATCGGGGTGCTTAACATATAAAAAATCAACAGTCATGAGTATATGATCAACATAATCAGAACAATTTGGATTTTTCGGCGGAAAATAAAGAACACACAGTATGATACAAGATAATTGTCTCGGTAAGTGTGGTGGTCGTAACATTACCCATATTGCTTCAATATTCTCTGGCACAATAATATCACTTAAAAGATAAGGTTCTAGTCCATGTTTGGCAAGTAAAGCTACTCCACCTCCTTGTCGACCTTCGCGTGGCTTCGAGAAAGTGGCGAATCCATCAATGGATAGTAACTCTAAAGGTGAATCTTTAACTTCCCAAGTCTCCGTCAGCGCTACTAAATCAACACCGTTGTCTTTCACAACAATTTCAAGCTCATCCAATTTATTGTTGATCGATCTTGGATTTGTAAGTAGAATCTTGGGTAAATTAAAACCGTGACTTTCGCACCTATCTATAGGAATCTGACGAAGATTTAAAAGATTGGTTCGTAATTTATTATTATTAAACCGATTTCTTCTAGGTTGAATTATAACTGGTATTGAGCGTGTTGCTTCATCGTCGTTTGCTTCATGTACGTATGTAGGCTTAGAAAATAGAAGTGAATCCTGTCTCTCTAGCCTCCTTCGTCCAGCTCGTTTGCCACGATGGTGAATTGGTTTCCGTTGGATTCCCAAGCTCTTGATGGTATTCCATACTGTAGGTAGTAGTTGGGTTGTTTTTGGTGTGTTCCTTAAGGCATATAGTTGAGATAGAGGGTATTTACGGATGACTTTAGTGCATGTTGTAGATAGAGAAGGGCCTGGGTTAGGGTGTATGTCTCCACATAATAGTAGCTCAAGTTGAAATGTTGAATTGCAGTTACTATAATACAAGATGCGTGCTGATAAGTACTTGTGGTGAAAAAGTTTTGGAGATAAAACACTCGAAAATAAGTTGAGTTGTAGAATACAAACAGGTAAGTTACTATATTCAGTTCTCAGAGTGCATAGTGTACATACAAATAGAATGCTCACCCATAGCTTCATGCTGCATTGACACCGGTCTATTCATAGCAAACCAGTCAATTGTGCACTCCATTGTATATATGCTTGAGTGAATATGCTGCAATGTCAGGCGAGCTAGTACTCCACACGTAAAAATGTTTCCACACGTAATAAAAATGGCTGCACTTAATCACTGGAGACGGCAAAGACAGATTACTCTCATCACATCAAATAGAGAGTACAAAATCACTGCACGAAATGTCGAAAAGTGTCCATGTGCTATAATCCTTCGACTGTTCAAGTCTTTATCTAGAATAGACACTGATAAATGGCAATAATAACGCAAAAAGCTAGGAGCTCATGTAGGAAAATGTCAGCTGCCTCCGGGCGCTAGTCTTGGGTTGTTGTTTTCACGAAATGACTGTACTCTGAGAACTTCTAAAGTGTTCCACCTTATTGGTTTCATTAGGTGACTGAGTTGCGTGTCATGCTCTTG